CTCCCCACCATCTTCAGAAGGGTCTTCGTGTGTGCAAATAAGATCGCTTGTAGTGATCTTTTCATCGATTATGAACATGACTTTCTTTTGCACCAATACTATGAAAGACTGCCCCCCCCCCCCCCCCCCCCCCCCGAATCACCACCATTTCAGGGAAATGGAACCATGTGGATTGTTTTCTTTGCGGTGGTTGGTGAAATCGGAACAAATTTTACACTTGCTTACGTTCCTTACCGATTGTTGAAAAAATCCGTAAGTTTCATAATTCCTTTTCGGTGGATGGTGAAGTTAAGATATATGCATATCTTCTTTCCCATACCTGTGAGTGCTCCTCATCAGTAGAGGTGTAAATGAGCCAAGCCGCTCGCGAGCTGCTCGTGGATCGCTTGGGAAAAGTTCGACTCGAGTTCGGTCATATTAAGCTCGACTCGAGTTCGGCTCGACTTGAGTAGTTAACAAGCACAATTCAAACCTATTTATTTTAGGCTCGTGGCTCGCGAGTCTTTGTGTCATATTTTATATACTTTATATGTAATTATATATGAAATATGTAATAATTATATAAGTACTTTTTTTGGAATATATATTCTAATTTAGGATTATTCCATATTTAATACTTTTTCACGGAGTATATTACTCCGTATATATAATAGTAATAATTAGAAAAATAATAACATGTATGTAGCATTATTATTATAACCACAACTTGTAATAATTATAATATGTACCCACAATATTTGTTGACGGTAAAGTAAAGAATAAAAATGTTAGTAACGGAGAGATAAACTAAAACTGAGAATGAATAAATACACATATTATATTTTTAGCTCGAGTTTGAACATCTTATTCAAGTTTAAGCCTATAAAAAGTAATTATCGAAACTTAACCCGAGCTCGAACCGAGATCGAATTGAGCTCAAGCCGAGCTCGGCTCGAGTTCGAGTCCAAATTATTTAACTCGTCCAAGTTCGAGATCGAGCTCGTGAATTCTTATCAAGCAAGCTCACGATCAATCTCAAGCCTACCCATGCTCGGGCTCGGCTCGGTTCAGCTCAGCTCGGCTCGTTTACACCCCTACTCATCAGAAACATGTATGTGGGTGCTTTAAGAACGAGCATGTTTGGGAAGTTTCATTCTTTGGTTACTTTTGAAACAAAACAAATACCGGAGTAGTACTTTTCTTTACGGTGGTTGATAAAATCACACCCTTTCCAATAACTGATCAAATCGACCCCTTTTTGATTAGCATGAATGGTCTCGGTACTAGTCTTCATGATATATTGTCACTTAGGTGGTGTTTGGAACTGCTTCTACTTCTTCTTTAAAGCAGAAGCAGAATCAGAATCAGTTTTCAGAAGCTGGTACCCCTCAACTTCTAAAAAAACTGATTCTGAGAGTAAATTAGAGCACCAAAAGTGCTTATGGAATTTCACCCAAACACTCCAGCTTCTGTTTCTGCTACCTGAAGGAGCAGAATTAGTTTTGAAAATCAGATCCAAACACTCCTTAGTGGTATAGGTATTATGTAGTATGTGTTCATTTCAAATCAAATTAAACCAAAACTTCTCGATCATTCTGATATAGTAGTTGATCAGCTTCTCAGCTCGTTTGTGTCGAGTAATGATTTAATGAAAACTGAAAAGGATATAATACTTCCTTTAATTTCATTCTCTTCTGATTGCAGCACTAGACTTATAGAGACTATCTATTAACATATTTAATACGTTATTAATAAAAAAAGACTAAATAGAATTTGGAATTCCAAAATAGGACTACTACGTTTTTTTTTTCGACATAGGAATATGATGACGATATGTATTGCCATCTTTTAGTCATGACTGCCAAATAGTTGCAGTACTGTACATTTAACATGACAATATTTATTATAATTAATGACATTATTTTTCAATCATTGCAGTATTTTTTAATCATTACGGTAACAACTCTATTTTGAGAAGAAAAACATAGTAGTCTTATTTTGGAATTTTCAAAATTACTTACTCCTATTTAGGAAAATTTCCCTATATAAAAATTACGAAGTATAATGAACACTGATTTTGTAAATATAAAGCGACACAATCAATTTGATAATGTTTTTTAGAATTTAATTTTCTCATGCATATGAATAATGTAAAATTCAACATTATTATATATTAAGAAGTATAATTTAATAATTAAATATAAGATCGAATTGCAATAACTTTAAACTGCATGTGAAATTTCTTTTCTTCTATATTTCCTTTATTTACTCTTTTTCTTTAAAATGTGAATTTCCATTTTTAGAAAAGCATGTACGTTGCGGGAAAAGTTAAAATGTTCTAAATATTCCATGCCAAGTTGGCTTGGTAAATACGTTAAACATGCTTAGTTATGATTACCCACTTAACCACTTTATTTCATATTCATAAACAACAACAATAGTGATAATAGCATTAATAAATTACGAATGGTGATATTAACCAAAGAAAAGTTTATTTCAAAGTCATTTTCTAAAGTTTGGATAGATACAACAATAAGGGCGAAATGAAATAATAATGATAATAATAATAATAATAATACGGAGTAATAATTAATAAAAATAATATCATTTTTGATGTTTATACCAACTTTAATTTATTATTAATATGAGTACTATTTTCTTTTGACTGGATATCAGTACTGATTTTAGTATTTATACCAGGTTAATACTATACTAACATTAATACCAATATTGATATTTTTGGTACGTAATATATACTAACCTTCAATCAAACTCATTTTTTTAAAGAATCAAACACACACACACACACATATATATATATATATATATATTAATAATATAAAATATTAACACTTCGTAATATTTTGCAAAAAAAAAAAACACTTCGTAATACGTACGCCAATGCGTACCCTAATTAAAATGAAAAGAGAAAGGATGATCGAGATGCTTATTATTTATCTAAGGAACATGTAATAAAGTAATAAACGCCCTCTAATTAATATTTATTTCCAATATGCTGGAAATTACTCCGTATTGTTTACTCACCTTTACTAGCTTGAACCAAGCCTTTCATTTAAACTTTTAAAGCTACCTTATTTGTTCTATTAAATAATCAATTTAAATTGTGCTCTTTTTTCCTAGTTCCAAGATGTGATGTGGCCCGGCCAGTAGACACAAATGCACAATAATCAATAGATCGTGGATTATAGAATTCAGCAGAGGTTTGAATCTGATGCATATGTTTTCAATTAAATATTCAACCCTTTAATAAACATAGAATTAATAAATAGATTCTTAGGATAAGTATATAGGTGACAACTCCGGTACCCATTTAAAAATGGGGGTACCGTACCTATCACTCACATGATTGGTCTAAATCATTAAATCATTTTTAATTTAGATTTAAATAATTCAACTGCAACATTCTGATTGGTCCAAGTGGACAAAGGTATGGTACCTTTTGGGTACCATAGAATCTACCAAGTATATAATTATAAAAATTGTAACTTCCACAATACCTATTGTACTAATCAAAATTATGGTCTAAATTTTATGATGGACGTAATATTATTTTTGTTTTGCACACTAATTTTGTAATTTGAAGTTACTTGTCTCATTGAGTTTTATGATTTTGCCAAAAAACTATTTTATCTCTTTCAATTGTTTCTTTATTTAGTTAATAGAATACATTTTAAATATATATATATAATGTTTTCATAATCCAATACATTCAGTCATTTCAGCAGATTTTTAGGAATTATCACAACAAGTTCTAGCGATTCAACGAATTTCAATATGTCAAAACATACTCTATATTTTTTACTCTGTGTAATAATTAAAGTTTATGTAAAATTAAGAGTTTTTTCAAAAACTGAAAAAAAAAATGAAAAAATGTGACTTAGTAACTTTTAGTGATTGTAATTGTGTTTAAAGTTTACTTTGTAGCGACTACATGTATGTATACTTTTTTAGTCATATAATGTAAACTTAAAATACAATTATAGTCACTAAAAATTAGTAAGTCACATTTAATTGTATATTAGAATTTAATTCTGTATTACGATTAATGGAAGTAGCTCTTGTATGTGTGAAATTGACATGGTATCCATCATACAATCATTTGGTTGTGCATGATGGGAAACTTGTGAGTGGATGAAGTAGACCAATTCAATATTCTGATACAGATAAACAGTGAAATGATGAAAAATGTTTACTTCTATAACTCCATATAAGCAATAAACTTTCACTTCTATTTGTACATTTCACTCACAAACATAATAATGTACGACAACTTAGGTTTTGGCACCTTTAATTTGGAATAAACATGATCTGATGACTGATGAGAGCCTTTTTCAAAAATATATTTGCTTCATTAATTAATCTTCAATAATCTTTCCCAGTGATGATCATCATACCCCAAAAGCAGCATATCAAGGAGCATATATAACTAAGCTAGAAGGATAAGAAAGTGAAAGAGAGAGGAAAAGAAAAACCTCACTTTCTAAATTAAAGGGAACTTTGATGCACCCTTCCAATGACTAGTTTTAATCAGTCATACATTATATTCTAAGTACTTTTTAATACAATAATATCCAGTCAATTAGATCTTGTTCATATGGTGGTTCCAATATGCACAGAATAAATGTATCCCTAAATTAAAATACCCAATAAACATATAACTAGACAAAGCTCCTACACAAATTTCAAAGGTTGTAGTGCATGTTTATGCCTTATAATTAAATGAATATCAAGATACTTTATTGCTATGATATAGCAATAAACTTTGAACTCAATTTTCATATCTGGTAAAACTATTTATCATAATATAAATTAAACACTTGAAGCTATGAAGAAAGGGACAATAATGCACATAAGCAAGAACAAGCTAGACCTAGAAAATATAAAAATTCCAACTTCCAAGAACTATTACAGCTCATTTAAATCAATAATTTATTATGTATAAGTAGAAAAGTGATACAAATACAAAACCAAATTATACATAACATTAAGAAATAAATTGATCTCTCTGTTATTATTGATGTTATAAGTGGTATACGCAGTACAGTATGAGACTTTCTGACCTTTAAGGTTATAAAATTCAGAAAGGAGGGCGGGCATGATTCATCCAAGTAAACGCTTCAGGGTTCATTTGACCTCCATTATTATTAGGCACCACATGTGGAGGCAAATTGTACACACCCACAGGCACATGATGAGACTGATCCACCATGGCGCCACCGCTAGGGCCTTCGAGCCCTAGTGGCGCTCCACCTCCTCGGAGCGGGACGTGATCTCTCTGATCCTCCGGCTCTAAAGGCAGCCTCTCATATGCAGCATTCGCGAATGTCGAACCTATCACCATAACTGGCCCGAAAGCGATAAGTGACCCCACTACGCTCCCGCCCACAACTTGCCCTTGACCTCCAGCTAGGTATATGGTCAGCCCCGTCGAGCCCGGCGGGGCTGAACCAGGGAGAAAAGCGCCCGTCAATGAGAGTATCTCGAACCGGCCGTGTAACGCCATGACGCCCCCAGGAGTCGATGGTTGCCTTAGGGTTACATTTGTGACTGTCCCGGTCGCGCTCAGCACACAAACGCCCCTCTGTCTCCGGCGAGCAAACTCCGCTATGCTCTCCGCCACATCAGCTCCGTTCGCCACCTCTAGCACGTGGCTCCTCAGCGCGTTGGGGCTGTCCCGCGTGACATAAATGGGCGGTTTCGGCTTGTTCTTCGATCCCGGGGGCCTCCCCCGAGGCCTTCTCCTTGTGGAGACCTCAATAGCGCCGTCTCTAGGCTCATTCTCGGTCTCTCTTTCGTCTTCCTCGTCGTCCCCGCATATGTCTCCGGTGTTGTTTTCGTTCATGGACATCCTCGGATCTGGGTTATTGACCCCTCCGGTAGAGGATGAAGGCTCCCCTCCCAGAAACCCTACTTGGCCCGTCCACCATTGGTTGCTCGCCATGTATGCTTGTAAATGAACTAAAGTGAAGCTTGCTAAAAAAGGGAAAATTACAGCTCGTCCTAGCTTATTTAGACCCCTCTATACATCGAGCAGGACTATTTAATTTACTGCTAAAAAGTGTGTATAAGATCAACCAAGAAAAGAATTAAAGGGTTTGTTTTCGTTTTTGTTTTATTGGGGTGGTTTGTGGGATAGCTAGCTAGCTAGGAACTAGCTAGCTAAGCCGGAAAAGATGGAGGATGAATAGGCCGGATTGCTGGATATATAGATGAGAACAATTAAGCTAGCTAAGAATTGAAAGACCTAAACCTAGAGAGAAAGAGAGAGAGAGGGAGTGAAGCAAGAAGAAAGGGGCAGAATTGGGTTGATGAGAATTGTGGATTTGGAACACATGCCCCAATCCCAATCAGAACACAAGAGAGTGAGATATCTGTTTGAATCATTATCATCAACTTATTATATAGATATAGAAATGTTTCTAGGGCTGAGCTATTTTCTAGCTTTTTAAATCCAATCAAACATTTATTCGTAGCTTCTTGCTTGCATCTAATATAATCCTTTATATTCCTCCACTTTTTATTTTTATTGCGTGGGAAGAAGAATTTGGAAATTACATAAAAGAAGTCACTTTATATGTTTTATGTAATATGTGAAAGTATAAAAGAGGGGAACTTTTGACTTCACTTACTTCACTAATAGTTTATGTTAAGTTTTTCTTTTGCACCCAACATTTAAAATATATATGGCGTTGAATTTCATCTCATGAGTTAAATCTTTAATAGCAGGAAAAATGCTAGGAAATTAAAGGGTGAGGGGCACGGTATAGAAAATGTAAATTAAAGGAAAATGAAATTTTGTTATAATACGGAGTTTATATTTATTATACTAAGTGCTACGTACGTATTCATTAATTAATTAAAATGATTGTCCATAAATAATCAAAACAAATTTATGAGGTGTGGTTTATTTTTTAGGAAAAATTGAAAATAATAATCCCAACTATTGCCGATCCGCTGAAAATAATCCCAACTATTGATTATTTTTGTATAATCCCAACTATATAGGCTATCCGCCAATAATGGTCCATGACCATATACTACCTCTATAAAAAGTGAATTTTAAATAGAAATTAAGCGTAAAAATTAAAAGTTGAGATTATTTATAGGGATTACTTGTTATATCTCATCTCATCCATTTTAGAAACTACAAGAATTTATTCATAGGGACCATTATTGGCGGAAGGTCTCTAAAGTTGGGATTATTCTGTAATAATCAATAGTTGGGATTATTATGAGAGGACCGCCAATAGTTGAGATTATTACTATCAATTTTTCCTATTTTTTATTTTTACCTATATATGGTTGTCTATATATGATCTTCCTTTATTTCTTTTTTCCAAAAACCAGATGATATCCTTTCATGTTTTACTTATCTATATCACCATAACTTTTTTATTTTATTTTAAATAGTCTATATTACAATCAAGATCATACCAACAACCTCAGGCATAAGCTCAATGATCAGACTTTGACTCTGTTATTCACAAACGAGTCGCAGATGTCACTAATCATGTAATAGACAAACTGAAGTTTAACATTATTACTACGTAAGTCTTCATATTTCTATAGTGACTTGAAACACTTATCAAAGGCAAAATGAATACATAATAATTACGGTAATTCAAAGTACTGAAATAGGCGAAACTGACAAAAAAACTGACAAAAGGAAGTAATGAAGCAAGAAGTCATGTGCTTCCAGTTATGTCACCTCCTAGCATATAGAAATAGCAGGAAGTTATGACAAAAGATTGGGGTACACACTTTTTGTACACAAAAAGTGTACACTTGTCTGTCCCCCACAGACAAGTTGTCTGTCGCGAGATGAGTTGTCTGTCACACATCTCATCTCGCGACAGACAACTTGTCTGTGGGGGACAGACAAGTGTACACTTTTTGTGTACAAAAAGTGTGTACCCCTAGCTCCACCCTAGCATATACGGTTCCATTGTACTTGCAGATTGTTCTCATCGGTAAGAAAGCCAATAACATTTATTCCACTACCATTTGTACTGAATAGTTTGATGAAACTCTCGCACTACCATAACCATTAGTGCATTTCGGTTCTTTAACTGTTGAATGAAGTAAATTGGTAACTTAAATACATTTAAATGTCTCCTAAAAGTATCAATTTAAAATTTCGGTTAAAATATTTTATTGATACCCTTAACTTTAAATTATGAAAATTTGAAAAACAATTATGTGCAAATTAAACAATTATTTTACCAAGTTTATAAAGTTGTCTTAAGTCGAATGAGATTGTGTATTGTGATAGGTTCCAATGCCCAAATAGCGACATAATTGGTTCTTTCTTGAATTGTTGAAACTAATAAACATCTAAATTTGCTAACCATGATACATGAATTAATAATTTATTTGATATGACTGTTTTAGGGAAAACAAAATAAAGCTCAAATTGTTATATATGCCAAATTACTTGGGTCAAATTGCAAGCTTAGTGAAGTTTCATGAATTAAAATGTTCCAATATAATTAGGATACCAATTTACTTTGGGAGTATTATCATTAGTTAATCAGATTACCATTTATGTTATTATCCCTCTATGGATGTTTTCTTTTTGGACTGTTTTCAGTCCCAGACCAGATCAGATCAGAGCAGACCAGATCAGATCAGACCAGACCAGACCAGACTTGACTTCCGTAGTTATAAAATACACAGAGATCAGACGTTTATCAGACCAGACCAGATCAGACCAGACTAGCAAATTTCAGTCCAAAAGAAAACATCCTATATTCAGGCTCCAAAGATTCACCTCGTTCCCATTTATTTTTCTTGTCGGGCATTAAACGTAACCTCACCCTATATACATACTCTGTTATACCTTACACCTCATAATAGGCGGATTTGACACCTAAGTTTTGGGTGTTTTTATTCTACAATTAAAATTATGAATAATACTTCCTTCGTTCTCTTTTAATTGTAATAGTCAACATTTCACGTTTGACAACGCACAAGTTTGATCATCAATATCTTTCATTTTTTATTAGTAAAAAAAATTAAAAAATTCATAATTTGAAAATTTTGAATGAGAAGAATTTAACAATATTTTTTAAAAATTTATTTTATAATACATTAATAAATAAAATGTAGTCAAAGTAGAATATGTGAATTGTGCAAAAAGTGCAATGTAGCAATTAATAGAGAACGGGGGTAGTATTAATAATATCCGATTAAATAATAGACACTTATACGGAGTATTTTCTTTTCAACAAAAAATGTTAAATAAAATTAAAATGAAGAAGTATTATACTAGTAAAAAACAATACTCCAACATATTCGCCAAATTGACTTTTCTTAGTCAATGACAATCAATTTTGATTAATAATATTTTTTAATACGAAATTATTTTGAATATGGAAAACATATCTAAATGTTCCTAATTCAATATATTTTCATAAAAGTATAAAATTTATAAATTGTATACAAACCTAACAATTAAAATCATTGTCCAAAATCATTGTGACGAATCTTTTCGGGACAGAGGTAGTATATTTTTACATCAATCTACTGAGCCCGGCCGCTGCTCATGATGTAACTCAATATTAGATGAAGAGTTTTGCTAGGTGTACACATTTTGTGTACACATGTCTGACCTTCACAAAAAAAATTGTCTGTCACAGACAACTCAAAAACAGCTTGTCTGTGACAGACAAATTTTCTGCGAATGACAGACATGCGTACACATTTACACAAAATGTGTACAACAAACATTTTTCATAGAATTATAATCACCAACTCAAATTAGGAAAGACTAGCAGGCCCATAAAACGGAAAACAACTTACAATATGCTGATATGTAGAAAAATTATATTAATAAAAATAAAATTAAGAAACAATTATAAGAAAAACTAATATTAAAAAACAATTATATGAAAAACAATTATACAAATTTTAATATTCAAAGTCAAAATTTTAGTGTTTGGTTAAAAAATTGACTGATGAAACAGATAAGACGAAAATATAACTTGGCAATGAGGGTCTTAGTTTAGTTCATATAATTCTCCCCTCGTCTAGGGTGTTTAAATTGTATTGTAATTTTCCGGTCTGAATTGATCCATTAATCAGGTTTGGTCTGTTTAAGTCTGTTCTAATTTAATATATGCTTATTCTATTGTAATTTATACCTATGAGAATCTAATCTGATTTGATCAGGTCGGTTTACGTTTAACCTGAACTAGTGTGATACGAAAGAAGTCACTCTAAATTAATTTTGGTCTAATGTTTCAATTCATATGTGGTGGTGGGGGCAGTTGATGTGTCGGTGTGTGTGGGTTTTTTGGGTCAATTTTCATAATTTCATTGGATGGGTTGTCGTCTTCGTTGTTGCAAGTATATAACGTAACCCCACCCGTCTGATCTCTCTCATCATCAGATCAATTTTTTGGTAATGGAATTTACTGAATGAACAATTTAATTTCAATTCCTTGACAAACGGGATATGATGCAATCTTGAAGTTAGGGTTTTGCTTGGTTTGGAGCACCCACGAGCTATGAGTGTAGCGCCCGCTCAGACCCGCCCAGCATAGATGTCGGGCCTTGGGACTCCATTAATTAGCTAGATAGGTTTTGTCTCGCATGGGGACGAGATCACCATATTCCTATTCCCATCGAGATCCTCTTTCGTGCGGGAGAGTGCCTTGCAGGTGAAGGGTTGTCAGACGGGAGAAGAGAAGCCTCGAGATGCGGACCTTAAAATCTCCGACCATTGAAGTTTTGCTCGGACATTCCCCAAAAGCCGGATACCGGTCTTGACTAATTATGGGCCCGGGGCAAAAGACCAAAAATAGGCTCTATAGATGTTAGTGCCGGTGAATGCTTGCAATATATGATCCCCTACAAAAAGCTCGTGATTAAAAAGCGAAAATGCAAAATAGCAATCAGCCAATTGTATGGAAATATTTAAAGATATAAATAAATTTCGACTTTATATCCTTAATTAAAAACCATTTTCTAAGTAATATACTAGATACAAGTAAACCCGGAGAGAAAAGGATGCTAAAATATGAAAAAGACAGAAGCTATCCGCCATCGGCTTAGTACTACAAGTAAACCCAGAAAGTAATATACTAAATAATTAAAATTATAAATTAAAGTAGTCAATTTACATAATTAGTAAATGCATGTGGGCACTGTGCGGCAGTGCTTGTCCTCGTCTGATGGTTGAATCCTTTGAGAGGCCTAGAGAGGATTAGAGGAAATGGCAAAAATTAAGAATTTGAGAATTGAGAATTTAAGATTTGAGAGCAGAGAACAACGAAGGCTGACGGTTGAATCAATTAAGCAAAGCGTGTAGTTGATTATAAGAGACCGAAGAGATTCATATGATTTGTACCAGGGAGGCGGAAAAATTGAGTATCCAACGTTTGGGAAC